GTCTGTGTTGCATCATGTGGATGCTTAGCTGTCCGTATCAGAAACTGACACGCCATAAATGTCTTGAACTCCATGCAGGTTGCCTCTCTGTCTCAGGGTTACAGATACAGTAGCTCTCCTATCAGTCCGGCTCCAAGATGTGCCCATATCCTGTGTATTCTTAGACACACGAAGGCTGTCCTGATTAGATGACCTCCGTACACACCGCGACATCCACAATGTGAAAGAAGGCCTTCTGCTCTGTCTAATCTGACTAACAAATTAACAGTGCACATGATGTATAAATAATAAAACCTAACAAGCTCAACCATGACTTTTCAATTGAATTCAACAATACTTTATTAATCCCAGAGGGAAATTCTGTTTGGGAACATCCCTTCCAAGAAGACAAAAAAACAGAAAGAGAAAAACACAGACATTATACATGGGGGGCAGCGGCCTTGCTGCCATGAAAGGCACTGCCCTTACAGTCAGGGAAAAACTTCAGAAAAGGGATGACAAATGGTAAGAGGAGGAAAAAACACATATTTCCCACTTTATTCTTATTAGGGTTCAGTTTGAGATTGCAAAGAACCTCAGGACACAAGTAACACAAATAAAACAAATCTTACGGGAGGATAGATGGAGGGGTATGAGGAGAGTGTGTACTACATCTGAGCTTCAGTGTGTCTGCTTATGTGTGCAAGTTAGTCCGAGAGCACATTTCCCGGGGCCATTGTCCATGATAGTATGATTTAGTGCAATGTTCATCAAACTGGCCACACATGTCAGGGGTTGACGTTAAGGATTTTTCCTTTGGGCAAGTGACTTTCACATTTCATTTGCCCAGAAACAATTTTTACTTGCCCAGTATAATGTTTGATAAATATAGTTCCTAATATTCATTTTTGTATATATATCAATGAAACATGTTTGTTTTGTAAATGTTTTTTGTAATTCAGTATTTTCTAAGTTTACAGGTTCCTGGTGTGTATATGCATGTGTCAGATAATGAACTCAAACCTACAATACTGTATTAACATGCTTTTAAATCCTTCCTGCAGATTCTTTTCAAACCAAACTTTGCTTTAAACTGTTGTATACTTAGAAAAATATAAATTGTAATGTTAAAAATCTAAAAAAAACTTGGCAGGTTAAAAACTTAAGATAAATCACAAGACAGAAGTCAATGTCACAAATGAATAACTTTTATTTTAGAGTCACGGTATGTTTATAGAAGATAAAACTATTAATAAAATGTGACTTTTCTAGAGAATCATTATACATTGTTATTTTATACAGGGTTTCCACAGTCTTACATAATTTCAGAATTTCCTGACTTTTAACTGACTCAGGATTAGTTTTCCCTGACAAAATAAATGCAGCAACAAGACAATAATAATAACATAACAGGTCACCAATCTAACATGTTTAGCTCTATAACATTTAAATGCACCTCTCCAATATCTAAGAAAAAAAAATTTATGAACATTTTTTAATTTACGATCTGCATCACTGTACAGACTTCCATATGATAGCCATATTTACACTGTGCGTATGGCATACAATTATGCCAATTTTTGTAATCCTTGACAAATAATTTTTAATCTAGGGTTATCTGGGTGTTGGGTGAAATGGGTGGGGGGTAAAATAGCCTTGTTGTTGTTTTTTAGCCTGCCAAGTCAATCACTCCGTCTGGCGGAAAATCACGCGGCTTTTTGAAATCACGTGAAAATGTGTACAAAACAACAAAAATGGCGCTGCAACGCTTGTGGATCATTTTCAACGAATGTCGAGGATTTTAAAGTAATTTTGAGTGATTTTTTTTGGTGATTTTGCACTCTCCCGACAATAAAAACTACTTGCCCCGGGCGATCGGGCAATGGTTAACATCGAATCCTGCAGGTAGAAGGTTCATAGATGTCCTCAGGGAAGAGAGGTGTACAGAGCATCGTGTTTACATTTTATCCAGGGAGAGTTGAGTAGATAAGGTCTCTTAAGGCTGGTGGGTTGCCAGATTGCAGATGGCGACAGATGTTTGGGTCAGGCTTGCTGCTGATTTTTCTGCCAACCTTGAGAGCCAATAATACTTTCTGTATCCGGAAAAGAAAAAAATTCCTTTCAGGACAGGATGGTTCCCGCTTACCCTGTATTCCTGTAGAAAACATTGTATCAATTGCATTGAGAGACAAGCTGAGCAGATCCATGATTCAGTTTTGGAAGTCTTGGAAGAAAAGTAAAAACAGGCTCCAAAAGAAGAAAAGACACAAATCTGAAACAGGTCAGACAGTGGAGGGTGCAGGACCTCCTTCACCGAGAGCAAGTCAGCTCTCAGTGGAGGAGCTTTTTATGCCATCCCTTTCCTTGACTCAACAGCTGAATAGTTAGATGCTGATCCTACGGCATCAATAACAACAACCCATGTTGGTCTGGAGGGAGCTGCCATTCAATGGGCATGAACCCCAGAGCTGAATACTAAATGGGTGATGTGTCTAAATCAGCAACACTGCTGCCCTCTATAGGAGGGAATGAAGAAGGTGAACAATCCCTCTATCTCCCCACGTTAAAGAAAATATACACTATATACTCAATATACAAAAAATTGATAGACAGAATTAATAATAATTAATTTCAGTAATAATAATAATAAATAACTGTTAATCAAAAGAGAAAGTTCCTCAAAAATCTTACTTTTTACATTTTTTTCTTCAACATTTTTAAAGTAGCTAAAAGATGAGAAAAGCTTTTCACTAAAGATCATCAAGCTTATGAGGTATTTTGAAAAACCTTTATTTGAGTTTTCAATCATCTAATAATGTCAGGTTTTATGAAGAAAGAACGAATGAATGCAATCACAGAGGCAAATGAACAGTTAAAGAGATTTATTGAAGGTTGTGGTCTGGAGTGAGATTTTATCAGCTGGCTGGGTATTCTGAAGAGCACTGAAATTCACTGAGATGAAGGCTTGCCATTAGTTCGGGTGGGTGATGTCCAGTGGTCTAGGTGGAAGGTGCAGAGCCGGTTGGTGATCTCCTTAGATGGTGTCAGAGGGTGGACAGGCAGGTGAGCTCAGGTAGGAGGGCTTAAACTGAGCTTAAGCAGGGATACAAGGCTTCACAGATTCCAGGAAGCAGGCTGGGAGTATCCCTGACAAATGTCCAGAGTTACATGGGTTCTGAGGAGCTGTCTCGGGCTTGGGATCTGGAATTCTAGGAAGGAGGAAACAGAGAGCAGGGTCAGGCTCTGATTTCACCAGGAAGCAAAACTAGGAAGAAGATTGGTCTGTACCACGCTGAACTGATCTGACGCCCTCCTCCTGGTCTCAGCTCCTCAAAGGGGTAATCTGTTCAGATGTAAAGCACCTGCCCGTCCAGCCTTGCTGAGGAGAGAGAAGGAAAATCAGACCTGCACCTAGACCTAGGAGTATGACAAATAAACAAACATTTTTTAACTCAGAGAATCTTAGAAACTGGTTAAATTGATTTTCTTGAATCTCTCTTAAATGGTCAGATTCTAAAAACAAATTTGATTTTATTTCATGAGGAGAGATTTTCAAGACATTAGTGAAAAACTGATTGAGCTTTAACTTCCAGTTTTCCTGCTCTGAGTCAATGTTAAAGTTTAATCTCTATCTTTGGTCTGGATTGATCCGTTTCTTTCTGTTCCTGTCATCAAAGACGCACCAGGATGCACCTCTGCTCTGAAATCAGCCCTGTTCTCCTGCTGCAGGGTTATTTGCTTGTTGTTTTTTTATTTCTGTGTAATGATGGAGGCAGGCCCACATCCCTGTACTGAGCAGCTGTTCTGCCCATTAAAGGAAAGACAAACTCTGTCTATCCCTGCATGGAGCTCCTAGCTCACAGTCACTATGCACAAATACCAATTTCTCTGTCTGTTTTTTTCTCCATTCATAGTCAGGTTATGGTGGAGCAGATATCTCTTATACAAAAAAAATACAGTTAAAGTAATCTAATAATATTTTGAAAAAAATGTTTTAATTAGCTGTTATTTTCCTGCCACCGACATCACACTCATCAGTTCAGGCCGATGAAGGCCCTGACCTGCACACCTTACTGTCATTTTCCACATTTGGAGGCGTTTGTATAGAGAGTTTTGTTCCCGTAGTTTCTAGCAACTGGGCTTTATCTACATCTCAGTATGGTAGAAAATGTGTTCTGTGATGCTGTATGAATGGGCCAGCACAGTGTCAGTGAGGAAAATAACCAATGCTCCTTGGACTAGTGTTTATCATGTGCCGAGGTCACATATTCTGTTGGCATATTTTATTGCATTCTGTTTAATTCAGCTAAAATATTCTATTTCTTATTCAGATTGGGGGGGTGCAGATTGTCACAGATCAGCTGGGCTTCTCTGGGTTCAGCTCTGAAGTCTAATCCATCCCATCTGACAGAACTGGACCTGAGTTTGACCAACCTTGATCCTGGAATGAAGGAGCTCAGTGGGTTTCTCAAGTCTCCCATCTGCAAACTACAGACATTTAAGTAAGATTTAGTATATTTCTTTCTTCTAATAACTTTTTAGTGCAAATCTCAGTGTAAATCAGTGAGCTCAATAGGCTGCTGATTAGAAGTGTGGGTTACGACTCTCATAAGGACATGTTTAGAAAATAAAGGCCTCAATTTGTCTGAAACTCCCTAACAAACGGAGCGACTACTGGTTTGGGTTTGAGTTCTGCTGGAGTCCTGTTTGGGTTTCTGTCTGCTTTGAGGAAAGCCCAGTTAGGAGAACCACATTGCTCTAGGGCCCGTCTGGTGTGTGATATCTCCTCCTTTCTGCTGAAGTCAGCAGGTCTTTATTGGAGCAGCAGAATGTTTGCATTAATATTAACACTAGAACTCCAAGAGAATTCCAGTTTTCCTGCAAACCCCCTCCCCTCTTCAAGTTTGTGTATTTACTCTACCTCGCTAAATGTCCTTGTTGTAAAGCAAATAACCTTGGCAACAGAACAAGAGCTTGCTCCAAACACTTTTCATTACCTGCCCCTGCAACATCAGACCTTTTTGAAGGAATAACTTGATAAGTCATATCTAAAGCTTTTATTTAGGCAAACCTATTGAACAACCAGATATCATACGGGTCCCAGTTCCTGAGCTGAGAACAGGTCATAACCATGCTTTTCCATCAAGGCAAGGCAGAGGCTATTTATATTGTCCATTCACTAACAAAATCATTTATAATGCAAAGCTCACTATGCTAAAGAAAGAACAACTTAGAGAATAATTGTATTTTTTCTGTTCTCGCCTTTTCATGTCATTCAACATTTCAGCTCAGAGAATGACAAACAGTATGATTTCAGTATTGGAATAACATTTATTTCACCCAAGGAAAAGCACTACATATGAAGCTACAATTGACCAATTTAGCAGTTTTTAGAAACCCAAGGTGAGTCCTTCCTGAATTTGCGACAGGTATACTTTGTGCAATGCACTCAATACACAGTGCTGTGGTTCCTGTTGCAGAGATTGCGCACCTGGCATGCTTATAATAACAATGAAGCACATATCTGAAGTAGCTGTAGTATGAACTAGATGAGGTTATCTATGTGTGCTGCAAGTTTGGTGGCACTACATTGATCTATAGTGTAATTATTGGCTATTATATGCTTACAATAACAATGAAAACATCTCCATAAATTATACAGTTTGGCCTATCTTCCCAAAGTAAGAGTTGTAGTATGATCCAGATAAAGTTATCTATGTATCCTACATATTTGGTAAAACTACAAGGATCTATATTGTAGTCATTGCTCATTTTATACTTATTCTGATAATAAAATACAGGTACCATTTGTCATTTAAGCTTTGGGAAATAACTCAAAAAAGTATTATTTTTTAATTAGTAAGTAAGTAAATAAGTAAACTTTATTTGTATAGCACTTTTCACAAACAAAGTAAAAAGTGCTTCACATGATAACATATAAACAACACAAGTAAAAACAGATATAATGCAGTAAAATCTAAAATAAGTAAGTGAATAAAACAATAAGCTATGTGCTTTGGAAGGCTTGTGAAAACAGGTGGGTTTTTAGCTGCTTTTTAAAGATATCCACTGAGTCCAGAGAGCGCAGGGACAGGGGGAGTTCATTCCAGAGACGGGGTGCCACCGCTTTAAAGGACCGGCGCCCTCTGGTTGTAAAACTGGTCCGAGGAACCATACAATAAATGTGGTATGAAACACATGAGATGAGATACACATTAAATGAATTTGATAATAATCCACCTCTTTTTGGTGATGCTTTTAAATATTCCCCTCTGATCATTTTGCAACTTGCAGATGGTCCCTAAGCATTTTCCGAGCAGTGAGCTCTGCATAGGGTCCAATGTAATTCTCCCAGCGCAATAGGAGACTCGTTTTGAAGATACTAAGGTTGTAGCTCACTGTATCCATTGCTGTGGTTGTAGAGAGGTGTCTGTTTTGTAGAATAAATCATTCGCGACGTGTTATTAATCTGGAAAAACCGAATCTGTGAATATATTGCCAACTTTACCGCAGTCTCATGATGCTGTCTGCACGGCTGCAGTGGAGGAGAGATCTGCTGCAGCGGAGGAGAGATCGTGACTGGACTTATATTTGCCCCCAGGTAAGTAGGGCAGATGGTCATTATTGTATAAATATTCTTGCTTTGCCTCTCTACAGCGTTCCAGCTCATGCAGTTATTTTCGTTGTACAGATCAGTTATCATCTGATCATTGCGCTGGTGGATCTGCTGAAATAATTCTGGTGTTTGCGAGACTGATGAAGTAGACTTAGTTATATTTAATTACAAATATGATTTTTTTCCCCCCAGCTCTCAGGTAAAACACTCTCCGACAGAGAGACTTGAGCTAAAACTGAAACTGAAGGGGGTGGAATGGTTCTCCAGCCACAGCGCTAAAGGGGCATTTACATCTGAAAAGGGATTCATGAGTTGTGAAGTACAGCTTGGGGGACTGGAGGCTGATGGAAATTCTTGTGTCTCTGGAATTTTTAGTGTTAATGAGAGCTCTTGAATTGATTCTGTTGGACTGTTCTAACCTGCATCAGCTCACATATTTCTATTCTTTATCCAGATTGTTTAACTGCGGTTTGTCAGAGGTCAGCTGTGCTTCTCTGGTCTCGGCTCTGAAGTCAAACCCCTCACATCTGTTACACCTGGACCTGAGGTACAACAATTTGAAGGAGTCAGATGTTCAGCAGCTGCAGGACTTTGTAAAGAGTCCAGACTACAAACTGGAGCGTCTGTAAGTAGATGGTTGGAGTGAGTCCAGCTGCTCCAAACAGGACTGTAGTCCCTGCTGCTCTTTACCCTGAATGTGCTGCATCACTGATTGACAGATGATGGAGAGAGAGAGGGTGGAAACACTCACTGATCTCCTCTGTTCATCGTTTTTCTCTCTGCAGGTGGTGGAGGTGATGATCTTAGTAGAGGAGATAAGCTGATCTGTGTCCTGATAATCCTCAGAGGTTGAAGCTGCAGCAGTTTGAGTTTAAAGAGACTCTGACTGGATCCTGATGATGAACTCTGAGTTTAGAGATTTTTCTCCTCTTTATTTGATCATGTCTCTTATTCAGCGTCCAATATTGTTTTTCTCTTTGAAACAATGAATAGGAAATTCAAACTAAGCTCCATTTAGTGGCTCCATGGAGGTTTAATCTGAATCTGATCAAACGGGAAAGTTCAGCTTTTTTTCTCACTGATTCATTTTCAGCCTGTAACCCAGAAATCTGAAATAAAGCTCAATTCTAAAGTTTTCAGGCTGAATGTTTGCTTCATTGTGATGCAGTTTTTGGACGTTTTTGATTTTATTCCAGATGTTTTCTGCAGATGTTTGGGCAGCTCTGCTCATCTGATCTGTTGCTGCAAACAGCTCAGTGAGGAAATGATGGTTTCTTTAATCAGAGGATTGTCATGAAACGAGACAGATGGACACAGTATTCTTGGAGAGACAGCCAGTATAAAAGTTCAAAAAGGTTATTAAATGAAAAACAAAACTAAAAGGGGAGCTTCTAGGATCTGTGGCACGCAGCGACTGCTGGTGGGGGGGGCGGGGCAGTGCCCAATTACAGACACTCTGGTTTAGCAGTTCAGTCCATAACCCTTGAAGGGGGGGCGATCCAGACAATGGGCTGACAGCTGACGCGGCGCAACACCCAGAGTCTCCCCGATGCTGCAGCTTCGGAGGATTAGTAGGAAGCTGCTCCTGGTCAGGGATACAAATCAGGCAGGAACAGACAGAACAGGATCCAGATAAGGCAGAACCAGACAGGTAGCAGAATCCAGGCTTCCAGGCATCCTACAGCTTCCAGGCAGTTTCAGAGTCTGACAGAGTCCGGAAACGTGACCAGGTGGTCACGCACAGGAGCAGACAGGATCAGGTGCAGACGGGCAGGCTCAGTGGAAGAGGGTAGCCGAGACAGGATGTGAAAACAGAACTTGATGCAGGACCTTTAAACTGGTCTCCACCTTGGAGCCAGGCTTACCGGGATAAAAACTGATCATCATAAAAACTTAGAGGGTGCCAGGAGCCAGGACATGAACCTTAGAATCAATGGCACAGACAGGCTAACAGAAAAAAACAAATAATGATCTGGCCCTGAATGCTCAGGCTGAACAGAATATAAACCAAAGGAAACAGGTGAGAGGAATAAATGATAATTAAGGCAGGGAGGGAAAACTGCAGGTGAAAGAAATAATTAATTTAGGGAGAGCAAACAGAAGGAATCATGACAAGGATGAAGCTTTTCTTCAGGATTTTCAATCAGATGTTTTTGATTTCCTTCTTTCTGATGGTCAAATATCAAATTAGGTAAAGATAAAGTTTAACCTACTCCAGCATCTTCTTTGCTGAGCATCGAAAACACTTTCTGGAGCTTAGAGACTTTATGATCTTCTTTGGAGGATGTCCTTACTTAATCCAGGCACATGTGTTGAAGGCAGAACTGTAATCCAAAAAGAGCATCCAGACATAACATTGCTGCTACTCCAGGTGGTTCAGTGCAGAATGGAGAGCTGCGGCGATTGCATCCTCTATGGATCTGTTCACCTGCTATGTGAACTGGTGGGGATCAAGGTCTGGGGGGAGATATTCCTTGATATGCTGAAGAACCAGTCTCTCAAAGCACTTCATCATTAGCGGAGTGACAGCCACCGGGCAGTTATCATTCAGGCTGCTTAAGGGAGATTTTGTTCAGCAGCAGGATTATTGTGGAGGTTTTTAGGCAGGACAGGATGACTGCCTGGATCAGGGAGAGGTTGAAGATCCTGCTCATCAAAGTAAGTCTATGTCTGATGATGTCATAGGTATTTTTTATAAAAATAATAATCTATATTATTTTTTGCAGATTTGTGGAGAAATACCAAGTCAGACTAGCTCATAATGCAAATCCTGGATATGAATATGTGTGATCTT